TTTAACTGCAAAATTGGAATAACAATTACAAGAGAGTTACATATTAACATATTGGTAAAATCTATAAAAAGGCTTTCAACTTCTAAATTCAGTATAAAAATTATTACTTGTGAGCATCAATAAGCAAATAGCTTTTTTGTTTTACCTTAGAATACCTAGTGCAGTACACTGTTTATGTAAGATCAATAAATATTGACTAGACTTCTCCACCTGATTTATTATACAACTGGAAAATGTTTGAACCTCAAAAATATTTTATATTTTCAGCCAGGTCAAAACATGCCATCATTTGACACTGTAAAAATAAAATATTTTGGCTTCATTTTTTAAACTAATTTTATCAATCTGTATATAACAATAGAAAAATAAATGTAATTGTTACATAGGCTCTTTAATGCAATTTCTTAATTAAATCTTAGTTTCAACAATTACTTTAGAAAATGTATAATATTCTAAAATGTTTAGTGTAACTGATAATATCTATAATTAACACCTACTAACTTGTTTTTAAATTAAATTTTATCTCATTTGTCTCACCTAATACTTTCTAAATTATTGCATAAATTAGTATTCTTTGGTTGTAAGTAATAAAAATCAATTCTGGCTAGTTTTAGAAACATTTATTTATTGGATTGATACCAGGGGCTCACAAAATCTTTGTGACATTGAGGAACCAGTCTTGAGAAGGGCAGATATCAAGACAGATCCAGGGGCTAGAAACTTAGAACTGCAATAATTATCTCATGGCTGGATACAGCTGTGGAAGTGATGAGACGTGAATTCATATCAGCTTCCAAAATCCAAAGATAGGCAAATAAGCATTTGGGCTGGATATGCAAATTTCAACAAATTGAGCTTCACACTGGAGTATACATCCATCAACACCCCCATCTCTTCCCAAAATACCTGTCACTTAGGTGGAATACTCTTGTATTTTCATAAGATTTATATGGGTTTTTTTTAGCATGTAAGTACCAAGGCATGGAGAGTGCCTGTTATTATTGCTCTCCAGATCTTTTAGAACACCTGCGAATGTAGTGATCTAGTATGATATTCCATGAAATAGTAAGATAGCTAAGGTGTCTGTGGATTAAAGTGCAGCAAAGAGCCAGAGTTGACAGATTACTGAATTGTGATATAAAAGTGCATTGATGTCCCTGCTAGGTAAAAGATAATTGCTTCTATTTTTTCCTCTTTATCAAAATGTGTGTGTGTGTTGGGGGTAGTATATGCTGCATACCAGCTTGCTCCAGCAAAAAGACTATCAGGAATAGCAGTACAATTCAAATTTTTTCTTCAAAGCACATCTATTTGTCTAGCTAACTCAGAGATTAAATGGGAATACACAAGGAATTATCACCCCTCCATTTTTCAAGTCTGAAATTCCTCCTGGAAATTATTTTTTGATTTATTATTTTGGTAGGGAAGTGTAGAGTTGATTGCAGCTGACCTGTGGTAGCTATGTGTTTATCTCCAGGAATGCCTAGAGCCATGGTGGTTTTCTCTTTGGGACAAGATAGGAATCAAATGTACTAACTAAAAATATATAATATAATATGTTATTTAGAGTCTGGAGTGCCCCTGAAATGCACTCTCTACTAGCTTGTCTACATTATTTACTTTAAAAAAATACAAATAGGTAATCTGCACCTGTATTATCTGGCTACATAGCCTGGTTTTGGCTATGGGACCAGTGGAGTATAAAAGATCCCCTGGTAAACTTTTGTTCTGAAGATGAAGTGCATCCTGTGCAACTGTAAGAAGACCAAAGAAGTTGCACCTGGGTGTTCAGGACCAACCTGAAGCTGCTTTATTGTCCTTGATTCTGTGTATCCTTTGCCCACAGGAAATCTTTCTGAGTGAGCCATACTAGAGCCTAGTTAATCCGTTCAATGACCTGACCCAGAACTTCCTTGACCCTCTCATACCATAATAACCTTTATTCCACAGGTCAGATGGCCATTAAAAATTCTGCCATTTTTCTGCCTATATACATACACACATACACACACACACACACACATAGACACACACACACACACACACACACATATTCCTCTGAATATGCATATTCAGAGGAATAATCATAGGATAGACTCAGGGTCTACTATATCTATTTCAGAATTTTAAAGAAACAATCTATTTACTTGAAATCCATTGGTAAAGGTGTTCTGTTTCCCTAGAAATTAGTATTAGCTCAGAGTTAGTGTCTACTGTCTAATAATAAAAAAGTCTTGGGTATACTCCTTTTCTCAGGGCAGTTACCTGAGTAGATAGAAGACAATTATCTAAACCTGAGGAAGGATGGGAATACTTATCTCAAGGGTTCTACTTAGAGAATCCCATGAAATGTCAAAACAGGAAGGATAAAGAGAGTAATCTAAAAATGCTTGTGCTGAGGGGAAAAAACAGGTCTGGGACAGTCATTGTGACCACTCATGGATATCTGGTTTTTCTTTCAGACACATGATGAGATCATAGATACCTGCTTTCTCAGGGATGAGCATGGTCATGTCAGTTGTTGGAATCACTGGATATCATTCTGGGTGAAGCCTTCGGAGCTAATGTGCAACTTACTCTCATGATCTTCTCTCTGCCACAGAGCAGCCATGCTCCAGGTAGCAGAGGTTCTGATTCTGCTGTGATGACAGTACGGAGCAAAACCTAAGGCTGACTTGTGATGGTTGCATATTGTAACCAAGAAATAAACTTTGTTGTTTTAGGGCACTGAGATTTGTGGTTGTCACTTTAGATGCAGATCTTCTTACTAGACCACATACAAAGGAAGGAAAATAAAATTGGCACTAGACTTCTCATCTTGAACACTGGATACTAAAAAAAAGTGAAATAATACCTTCTAAATTCTGATGGAAATGATTTTCAACCTAGAATGTCCAACTCTACTGTATGATCATAGGCAAAATAAAGACATCATCAAACCTGCAAGAATTGAAAAATTTTCCTTGTTTTCTTGGTTTAGATGTTACTTAGGGATGTGTTCAGGAAAACACATGGGTCAAACAAGAATGGTTGAAAATAATTTTCATATTGGAATTGATGATTGAGAGATATCAAAAACACTTTCAGAACAATTACAGGGAGTAGTAAAGATGTATTGGCTTCTACTAGAGAATAATCCTTTGCTTCTTTGGGGAGTTACCATAACCCAAAAACCTTTCTCCAGAGAAAGATCAAAAGAGGGCACACTAGATGTTGTTATGTCAATAATAGCATTCAAACTGACAGTTGTATCACCTTCCCTTCCCTCTCGAATTCTAGGTGGGGAAGGGCCAGGAAACAGTGAGAAGAATTATATAAGGAAGAACCAGTTCGAGAAACCTCTCTATTCTGTCATTCATTAAGCCCCCAAAATATTTTTGAGCAAATACTATATACCAATCCCTGCACTATTCCAGGGAATTCAGAAAAAAAAAAAAAAAAAAAAGACAAAGTATGTGCTTTCAAAGAGCTCATAACCTTTTGGGGAAGATTGGCTCATATAAACCAAGGACCATGCAAAGTGATCCTGATATAATAAAGGCAGGTCCAAGAGGAAGGAGTAGAGAAAAGGAGAGATTAATTCTGTGTGGTGAAAGGAAGGAGTGTTCTAGAGTCCTCAAAGCTTTCAGAAGGGCCTGAGTCTCTAGATAAAGTTGCACCTGAAGTTGGCATCCTCTGGTGGTAGGAAACAATCCATTTTCTTTTTTGTTTAAGCCAGCTTGAGTTTTCTGTCACTTGAAAACAAAGTTCTCTGAGTTTCCTAACTCTAAGGAATCTTATGCTAAGCAGCAGAAGAAAATAATTAGTCAAAGAACTGCAGGTGAAAAAACAGCAAGCAGGAGGAATAAGTTCAAAGAGGCAGAAAGGAGCCACCTATGAATGGAAAGCCAACTAAGAGAGCCTCATGTGAAAAAGGGAGGTGCATGGAATCCACAAACCTGTAAGGCAGAAAAAGCAGCAAGGACTGGAACAGAAAGCACACAGGTCATAGGAGAGTTGTGCTAAGGTGACACTGAAAACTGGGAAACGAATTCATGAGAACAGACTGAGTCTTACTAATGTGGGGGAGGGGGTGAAGCCCAGTTACAGGTAGTCACAGTGATCATGGGATGCATCATGTAAGTTTACTTGGTGGAAATAATGTAGTAATTTGTTGCAGCAAATTAGATGTTGGAAAGAAAGTGTGATTATGGTTGCTATGCTTGTGCTCCAAATAGAATCAATTTATGGTTAATAGAATGACTCGTGTGAGCAGTATTGCTGGCTCACTCTTCTACAGTGGGACAGCAAGCAATGAATAGAAGCCTAACTTTCTAGCATGTCTGTATTTGAGACTTACTAAGCAACAAAACTCACTCTCTTGCCCCATGTAAGTGTGAGGGAAGGAGCAAGGAAAGCTCACTTCCTTCCATTTTTCTGTGAGAGAAGGGAAGGAATGATGGGGGCTGAGATTAACAGGATGACATTTAGTTAGTGTAAATATAAAACCCTGAGTTTCAGGTGAAAATTCAAAAAAGAAAATAAAAAAAGGATGTAGGAGGGAGAGTCTCTGAAAGACACTTTGCATGTTTAGCAGATCACAACTCAAAACTGAATCATGTTTCTGGAGACAGGATTGGGAAAGGTATTTGTGTGTGTCCTGACCGCGACAGAGGCTGAGGAAGAGGAAAACGAACGACTTAGCCAGGTGGATAAGCGTTTCAACATCAACCTGTGGACAAAAGAGAAATGCTGCAAAATATGGAGAATGCAGTGCCAGGAGGGAAATGATTCAGGCGGCAAATTCCTCAGGCCCTTTGAGTTATGAGAACTAATTTCTGAAAGCGTCCAACTCCTTAAAGTAGCCCTGCTTGAAAAGCCTGCGTGCGGAGTCCGGAGGCCGCGGCAGTCAGCAAGCTCCACCCCCAAGCTCCACCCCCAGCCCGGAGTCTAGGAGCTGCCCCAATCCCGAGCCCCGGTTTGAGCTAACTCCGCCCCCAGCGCCCCGCCTCTCTCCTCTGTTTCCCTGGAGACGCTCTCCGCGTCCCCTCGCTCCGCGCCGGCGGCTCTAGGCCTCTGAAGCACCCCAGGAGGAGGGGGCGGCGCCGGCGCCCGGCACCTGTCGCGGGTGGGGGACTCGCTGCGGCGGAAGGGCTGTCTCCAGGCCGGTCCACCGAGGTTCGTGAAGGCAGGGGCGGGGCTGGCGACTGCACTTTCTCAGCTCCTTCGAGAGGCGGGCTGTTCTTCCAGGCAGTCCCCTTCCTGACCCTGACAGACCTACCCCCCCACCCCACCCCCCGTCAGTCTTTTGCAGGCTTCCTGAGCCCAGGCCCTGGGCATTGACCTCAAGAAACGAACTGAAAACGGAATAGGGACAGGAGCTCTTCCTGCTCCCCAGTTCACCCTAATCCTTTAAGGGCAGAGGAAAAACAGGCGTAGGAATAAGTCAAGTGGCCCTGTTTATTTAGAAGTTGGTGGAAACAGAAAGAGGACAGATGCTTTTGGTTTGAGTAAAGAGAACTAGCTCCATCTCATAAATTTGAAAGAACAAACAAATGGTTGTCCCTAATGCCATATTTGTATGGAAATATGTCAATTCAGATGTTCTGGCATTTCATTGAATTGGTGGTTGATTAGTTTCTCAATAGGGTCCTATACACGTTGGGATTTTTTAAAAAAATTCATCAAAACTTAGATGGTGAGTACTTAGTTGTATAAATGAATCTTATTCCCTGACTCGGGGCGGGGAGAGGAGTTAATCTAGTGAGTGATTTTAAACTTTGTTTCTTCTCTCCTTTGCTGTGATTCTTGGCTTCCTGATTTTCAGGCTGAAGTCTGTAAGCCTGGAGAGACCGTCAGCAGGAACCTGCAAAAGTAAGTCAAGTGCAATGTGGCTTGCCTTCAGACACTTTCCCTGCCTTACGTTTTGATCTAACCATCCAATATATGTCACTTAGTAGAAAATATGTACTTTCTACTTATTTTATTTAACAACCTATCTAATTCCCCACCACACGGTGCTAGAAGTGTCTGAAATCATTGGACACTAGAAGTGAATTAATTTTTACTTTTTTAAAGAGCGTAATTAGTGATATTTCTTCTGTGATTTTCTTTTAAACTTTCATGGTAAAAGAGCTTGTGGTGATGATATGAAAACTTTTATTTTTTATGAATGATTTTTAGTAAAATCATATTTATTTTTGAACTCTTTTGATGACCTATAATAAATTTTCTTACTGTGGTTTATTAGCTTTATTTCTCTCATCTCAGTTTTTACCCCAAGGTGACTGAACCCTGGAAACACTGGTAGCCTCAGACATAGTCATTCCCCAAGTAGCTTCTGTCTACACAGTGGTAGGCCTCCCCTCCTTTGTGTTTCCTGATAAAGGCCTCTCTGGGGATAGAGGGCAGGAGGGTTACTCTTTGAAGAATTTTACTTGGGGGCCAGAAACTTAAACTCACACCATGGGACACAGTCAGCCTGACCCAGCACTCTCAAACCTTTCATCCTGTGTTTCTTCATTCTCATTTGTCTTTGCATGTGGGGGCCAAACTTAGAGACTGTAACTGTGATACAAGAGCCAACCAGCAGATCAAAGAGTGCACCAAATCTCTTCTGAATACCAACAGTAGAATGGCTTCAGGCAGCATTTTGATCTTTGTCTCAGCACCTGTGGTGCCACGTGTAGCACTGCCCACTTGCTACCACTAGGGGAGCTGCCGCTGGGTCCTCCTAACAGGCTGCTTCAGCTTGGGCTCCTGGGGCTAAGCTCCTTTTGGTATCAGCCAAAGAGGTACCTCATTCTTCTCCCTTACTCACCTGAAACTGAGCAGTTTCCCTTCCTGTAGCCTTATCTATATTAAGTGTTTTCCTCTGTGGTGTTGAGCTAGGAGAACCCTGATGAAGCGCCATAACTAATGGTGATGTGTTTCATTTACATTCACGCCATAGCACTAGTTGCATTCCTCATTGTTGAGTCTAGATTAGAGCTCACCTAGGAGCTTTGAACCCTGCCTGGTCAACACCAGGAAAATGGTGCAACTCATGTGAACAAAGAGCAAAAGGCTTTCTTTGCTTTACAGATATAATTTAAGCCTGAAATACTAGGTCCCTAAACATGCTAGCATTTTTTCCATTATTTTCTTCTTGGCTGCACACTAGAGTACAGCTACTTCCTTTTTCAAAAAATTCACCATAAGACTGAATTTATAAGACACAAAAGAGATGGTTAGTTAGATTACTTAGATAAGAAAATAATTTGATACAGGATCCCTTTAAATATGTGGTATATTTCAAATATTATGTGTGTCATAAAATTCAGATCACACATTATCTGTTATATAAAATAAAATGCCCTATACAGCCATGTATTGATTGTGAGAAACAAAATACATTTCCTCAACAGGCATAGGCAAGGTGGGATGTGGGGTTTAGAAGCAAGGAGAGAGCCTGCTCAGCTTCCACCCTAACTCTGAGTTTAAACTTTATGTTTAAACAGAGATTGGTTGAGGGATATTTTTTTTTCCAACTCCAGCTAATAACTTTTTTTTCCACTTTATCATACAGCTCTGACCACCTCCCATTCAGAGTTTATGCCTTGAGGCTTGCCAGCAGGGCTTGCAATACTTACACTAAACTAAATTTAAGAGTAAAGGTGTTCCTGCTGCTAATGTTCTCAGATCAGAGGAAAGCAAAATGAAGGAACTGGCGGCTGAAACTTTAATGGTAGGAAACGTTGACTGAGAATTTGAAGAAAAAAAAAAGATTATGGTTGATCTGTATAACAAAGAAGACATATTCCGCTCCGTGTATATCATTCATTTGCATTTCATTTCATTAGATGCTTCTATTTTCTAACACAAATCATCTAATTCAAGTAAACATCAAAAGGGATAAATTTTATATAACACACTCATAGGCCAACTTTTGTAGGGGGTTAAATGCACCTTGATGGGATATGTTGCCTGGATCAGTGCTGCTGGGGTCTGGTCTGTCTACAAGTAGTTGGATCTTCCTAGTATTGGGGGAAATTGCAAGCACTATTTCTCATTTTGAAGCTCCTTGGTGAACCCTTAAAAGAACCCTGCAATTATGCGGAGATTGCCCTGGCCTCAATTCCCAGGGCATAATGCCTTGTTAAGCAAAGTGGGGCTCTTAAAATAGAGTCTTGAATCACAGAGCATGGAATGCCCCAACTGAAGGAAGCATAGTCGTCATTTCATTCTCTCCCTCTTGGAATCCACTGGGGCTAGACAGGCCAGGGTTAAGAACTGAGATGGCCCAGAGGTTTACTATAACACTGGAAGACTCTGGAACATAGCTTCTTTGAAGTAAGCTCAAGAAGGGGGAGCCTTTAGCGTCCTTCAAAACTGTACCTGTGGTTTAACTCTGCATTGGTCATAACTTCTTACCACAAGCTCTGCATGATGTTGCCATTTTATAAGTTCTGGTTATCCAAGTAACTCAACTAATTAATATAACATCTAGTAAGAAAAATAGAGTTTTAAAAAATTAAACAATAATTAAGTTATTATGAAGTTATGCAGTGTAATATAATATGTCTCTAATGTTTGTTTTATATGAGAAGACTAACATTTGCTGTTTAGACTGTGTACTTTAAAGCTATAACTATATAAAAATAAGTGGGCATTATGTTTCATAGCTCATATCACACCTTAATAAAGTAGATAATAAATATTAGGATTTATTATATCTAAATTTATTATATCTAAAACATTGATCTGCATTAGAATTCTCCTTAATTATGTAAAAAATTACATTTAGGCTGGGTTAATTTTTTTTTTTTTTTAGAAACACAAGGCTGCCCATTTTTATTGAATTTCAAAAGATTTTCCCTCAAGTCTTAGGGCTTTCCCATCTTCAGCCCCACCATGGCTTTGTAGCACTAGACGAATATCATGTCTCAGCCATCTACAGGTGGCTCTATCTCAGGAACTACTACATCTTCCCACCTCCACTTCTACCTAAATTACTACACTCTCTCACTCGAATTTCACAGGAGCTGCCTAACTGATGTCTGCTATTCCTCCCCTACAATCGAACCTCAAAAGGGAAGTCAGAGTGATCCTTTTAAGGTGTAAGTCAGATCGTGTCACCTATATGCTCTAAATCCTCCAATGGCTTCTTACCTCAATCACAGTAAAGTCCAGTTTTTACAATAACCTTCAAGCCCCTACATCACTGGGACACCACCAAAATTCTCTTTAACTTCCCTGACCTCATCTGCTTCTGCTCTTATTTAGCCCTTTGCTATTGGTGAGCATTTGGGTAGTTTTTAGTTCCCTGGTTTATTTTTCACTGTGAAATATTATCATTATCAGATGGTCTATGTATTGTGCTTATTTGTATATTGTCTTCCTCCATATTTATGCCTACAAGGTAAATTCTGTGAAGTTAGATATTTTTGTCTTTTTGTTCACTGTTGCATCTTCAGCACCTAGAACAGTGACTGGCACCAAGTAGTAGCTCAATAAATTTTTGTTCAATATATTCAAGGCCCAGATTGATTGTGATTTACCCTAGGTCACACAGGTAATAAATGCTGGTGATACGTGATTTAAAACCAAAAATTAGCCTTCCAGTTGTTTGGTGAGGCTAAAGGTAGAGGTCAAAGCTGGTAGACATAGTAGGAGTGAGATCAGGAGCCTCTGGCCTTTTGGATGCCCTCTCTATTTAACAGAAGCATGGGTTCTTTTACATCTAAGAACCCTAGCAACATGTGACAATTTTTCTATTCTGAGTCCACAGGCATCATGCCCACATTTTTTCCTCTTTGGAGTAAGGTTTAGATAACTTGATTTCATAGACCTGCCTTTCTTATTGTTCACAACTTGGAACATTGCGTTTTTCCAAAAAGGGCTATAGCAGTGTCTCCTATACTATATTCTCTTCTTGCAATGTGACTTTGATAGTCTCCCTTCAATAGGTGGTTCTATGTTCATTTGCCTTGAAACTGGGCAGGCTTGTTATCATAGCAGAAGTGATGCCATGTGACTTCCAAGGCTAGACCCTAAGTGGGGATTCAGCTTCCACCTCGCTTTTCTTTGCTATACTTGTCTTTAGAGCCCTGAGCTGCTACATCAGAATTCTGAGGTTGCCATACTGTGAGGAAACCCAAGGCACATGAGGAGACCTCATGTATGTGTTTTGGTAGACAGCCCCAGTTGAGTCCCAGCAAATAGTTAGCATTAACCACCATATATACGAGTAAAAACACTTACAAATGGTTCCAGTGCCCCACCATTGGGGTACCCCAGTTTCCGAGTCTTCCCAGCATGGGCCCCAGTCATCATGGAGCAGAGGAAAGGTATCCTATTATATATTCTCCTAATTCCTGAACCATGTAAAGTGTGAGAAATAAAGTTGTTTGAAACAACTTTTTTAAACCAATACGTTTTGAAGTGATTCATTATACTGTTACAGCTGTGTGCTTTCTCAGGAGAGCTGTCTCTATTTTGAGAATTATTCTTGGCATCTATCACTTCTAAAAGAAAGCCTTTGTTTGAGAGTGATATGGCTTTTAGAAAACAGCAAAGTATGGGCAGTTTTCAATCATTGATTGTAACAGGAAAGCAAAGCATAAACATTGGAAATCCATAACTATTCTAAAAATCTTCATTCTTCAATTTCAATCATGTCTCTTAACAAAACTGTTACCAAACCTGATGATTTTCTGAGTCATCAATGCGTTTATCAGGTTTTCTCATTATCCACTTTGTGGTGGAGATGCAGGCAAGAAATAAATTGGCCAAAAGGCAGACAATAAAAGAAAATAATGAGAGAAGCAGTCCACAGACTCCCCTCACTGAATATCATTCCTGAATAAGAGAACTGTAGCTCTACATACAGAGGCATTCTCTGCAAAGATGACAGACTATGGATCTCTAATAATGTCTTAAAGGGTTCTTTGAAAGATTGATTCTTTAAACCATCATTTCCTCTTATTTTTTTCTAGTCCAAGATGGCCACCCTGCCCCCACTGCCCATGACACGCCCAAAGCTTGCAGCCTTAGCCAGACAGAAGCTGCCATGCTCCCCTGTAACAATCCCAAGGTATGTGCCCAGGTTTTCACTTCTTTCCTTACAGAATGAATTTCCCAAAGTAAGAAGGGTCGATAGCATATCTCAGAAAATAAAATTGTTTAAAGATAAGAGAAAAATACGTTGTTATATTCAGAATATTCAAATTTGCTATTTCAAAGGATTGATGACCCTCATTCAAATACTACAAATACATTTATTTATCAAGCGAGTGCTCATTTGATTGTTTTATTTCCTATTGCAATTATATCATGGCATCTATAGAGTTTTGGAGATAAGATTCATTTTAAAAATGTATGCGCAGAATAGAAAGAAAAAGCTTTAAGGATGAAAGGTATGTTGCTTTCAATCCACAAGGTCCCAAGTGCTGATTTCTGTTTTGGAGAAAGGAGGGTGCAGCCTTGCTTCTAGGGTCGAGTGGCAGGCACGAATTAGATCATGAAATGATGCTGGCCTGAAAATGCATCATCAAAGCATGGCTGCCCATCAATGGCTGCTGAGCTACTGGAATTGTTGCTGGGAAGATGCAGGACAGAAAACTCTGCATTTTATCATAATTATGAATATTAACTGAGATTGTCCTACTTTGAAATTTCTATTTGTAATTTTATAGACTTTTAGTAAGACATAACATTTATCAACATAAATAATTTGCATATGTAGGTTTGATTATTTTCTTTCCATGCATACTTTTCAATTCCTGCAAGGCATAACGATCAAAGTATTATGAGACTTCTTTGTTCTGAACTTCATTTTTAGTATTTCTGGGAAAGACCAAAGCCCTTGGACCAAAATAAATACGTTCAGCTAAACTAACATAAAGATTTTTTAAGATAACAAATCAGAATTTCCTTTTTCTATAGCTGAGAAATCTTTCAATAGATGCATAATTCATGTGCATATTATATACACATGTTCTTATTTTTTGTTTTACTTTTGAAAAATGTGAAATATTTACAAAGCCTGAAAACGCTTGTTCTTTGTCTTTTTTAATGATTGAGATTACATTTTGTTTTCAAGATGAGCAAAAGAATAGCCTAATCTGCCACCCTTAAGATAAGATGGATTTTAAAGAAAACTTTTTCTTGTATTTGTTTTATTTAAGAAAAACATTTTTATCATAACCATTGAAGGCAAAGTTTATATGAACATTCTTTAAAACCTTATGAATAAAACATAGGTATTTGTTTTGTACCATGTCTCCATAGTTATGAGAGGTTGATAGCATACAAGTATATTTCTCCATAATGTCTTTAAAATCATTTTACATATCAAATCTTTAATAATATTTTAAATTGTATGTGTGATTTTAATAAAAAGGATTGAACCAGAAGTTCAGAGCAAAATTTAGTAATGTATGGGACAAATAAATTTTACACATTTTTATCAAACACATGTTCTTGATTCAAGATTCTGTACCAAACAAAATATGACTTCAGCAGTTGAAAAGTTATACTGTGAAACAATGTGAGCAAAATGAAAGACTTCTTAAGCTTTGAAGAGAAAATTCCATTTATTTAAGAATGTGAATTGTTTCAATGAGTTGGTGTTTTATTTGTTTACACACTGGGTTAATATTCTTCTCTATCTTTTTCCATTGAGGAAAATTAAAATTTTGAAATTATCTATCAACAACCTAACTGTATAGCAATTGTAGAACATGTATTATATATGGTATTATACCCTGAATATTTCTGTTCTCCTGGTGGCATTTTATATGTTTGGTAGCTTTTCAACTTGATAAGTCAGTGCTTTATTATTTCTTTCCATTCCATTTAGGTCTCAATTGATCAAAGAAAAAGATGACATAGATCATTATGTGGAGGTGAATTTCAAAGGATTGTCAAAAGAAGAGGTTGCTGCGTAAGTACAACCTCTTAAAGATACTTTAATATAAAGTTTGTTTCTTTTGTCTTGATTCTTTATTGAAATTTCAATTTTCCTGTGCAATATACTTTTTCATGGAACATGGCATTTAAAAATTAAAGCTCATATTAAATAGTGATAAGTCATGTCTATTGATCTTACAACATATCAAAGTCTCTAATGTTATGGCTCTCAAAATTTCCATATTTACCAAGATATTATACTATCACATTTGCAATATTTAGTCTGTGCCATTAATTGCATATTAACCTCCATTTTAAGGTGTGTTACCTCCATGCAAAAGAAAAAGCTTTAAGAAAAAGATTCATATATCTTTTTTTATCCTGGTGATTAAAAAAAAAAAAGAAAAACTTTACTAATATATCTTCTTTCCCCCAAAAAAACTCACAAAAAGAATCAGTGGATCATAGTTTACTGGTTAATTTCAACATAATTCTAAATTACCTGGATTTATTTTTTAAATAATTTAGAATTATGTTGAAATTAACTATAAACTTTGCCATTTTGCCACGAGTTAGAATCTAATTTATGGGATGAATAAAAGCAGTATAAAAATCAATGTAGGTTAGAGAGAAATTAATAGAAACCTAGAACAATAGCTAAACAGATCTAATATTTCTTACCTATAGACTTAGTGGCTCTGTTACCATCAGATCTTTAAATGTAAGTATCAAAAAATGGAAATCTTATAAATGCAAATACATCTTACAGAATTCATTGTTTCAACTGAAAGATTTTATGCAACAAATGTTTAAAAAAGATTCTCTCTTTTTAGTATTTTCTAATACTACAGGATTCTGCTGAAGGAGTGTTCCTAATGATATTTTGGTGTAGGTTTCATATCTTCTAAAATTCTACGTCTTTTGATATATTTCATTTTATCAGATACCATCTGTGTCCAGTTACATATAACATGGAAAACCAAGTAGTTTATTCTGTCAATAGCTACTTTATATAATGACAACATTTTATAGTAACTGTAATCACTCATTACTACAGCTCTAGACTGTCATGTGTAGTATCTGGTATTTTTAGTTAAATGCTATTCTGATTGTTAATTGTTTAACTGTCCCTGGTAGCCTGTTAGATAAAATTAAGATAAAATTAATCAATATCATATAATAGCACATTTACTTCTTTAAAGAAAAAAATATATAAGCAACATTTGTATCCTGGTTTAAATACTATATCCAAATAGCTTTAATTGGCTTAACAATTAAGAATCAAATTAGAAACTAAACAGTCTTCACTTAATTCAACAAACTAGAAATTTATATTCTAAAAGTCTGCTGACACCTAAGCTTTCAGTGCAGACTGAAAAGAAAAATTTTATGTAAGACAATGCAAAATAGGCTATGGTGATGAGTGTTTACCTAATATTAGTTTTCCACTGAGGATATTACCAAATTGATTTCAAATTCATCATTATGCCACAGATAACAGTAATGTGGGGTAATTCTCAGTGCTTACTACTGCACTCTCCTTAAAGCTTCCTGCACTTGAATACTTTCTCAGACCAAAGCCCTTTCTATAAGATAGTAGATGCAAATCATTCATGTGAAGATAGCTTGTGTACAGCTGTTTATTATGCTATTGATTGATACACATTCTAGACTTTGCCCCAGAAAAACTAATTGAATAACATAAAAAGGAGAAAATTGATTAATGATTTTAGCATCTCCCAGCAATGCCCAGCAGGTGCCATGAAGAATTATGCATATTCCTTTAGCCAGGGAATTGCTACATAAAACTTTTTATTAGCCATTGAACTATAAAAAGATAAATTAGTCAACAAGCATTTATTAAGTATTACTTTATATGTAATACTAGGTTTTTCATGGTGAGAGACACAGTGATATTTTATTGTAAAATTCTTGGCCCCATTCTGGAAACTTAACGTCTATTTGAGACAATAAGACCAACAAGCAAGAGACAAACATGAAATGATTGAGTGCTGGTTTTACCGTGAGGTGCAACCTCAAGGTCGAGAAAAAATCAGAGAAGACTAAGATGATATGATAAAACTTGTCCAGGAAGACAGATTTTGAATTTGGCTCCCTGTCTGGTCTGGTAGCATTATAAAATGATATAACTGGTAAGCCATAGATCTTCAGTATATAGAGATGTAATGGGTAGAAACTGAAGAATCAAATTTTCAATTGGGCAAAAGCAAGATCTAAGATATATCTTCAAATCCATTGCTCTCCTACTGCCTTATTCTTCTTCAAGATGGTGATAGATATATTTATATATACTCAATACACTTGATATAAACTTGCTTTGATATCTCATAATATGCATATGCTCATTAGCTAGTCCCAAAATAACCCCTTGTCATCTATGCCCAAACATGGGGGCTGTCTGGAAAGTGGCTAGCCATTAACATCAAGAGAACAGTTACATGCCTGGATACTTTCTGTACAGCGCTCGTCTAACAACTTACTTATGTATAAACTTACACACTGTGACTTTCCTCCTTCTGGGATGGGTGGAGAGTTCCTGCTCTTGTCTAAGGATGATGCCTCTGTTTACTCTGGATCCCATGCTCTTTCACCTGCACCAAGACTTTCTCCTGCAGTTAAACATGTTTTCCTCTTATACCATCACTTTCTCCTTTTCCCTTGGATCAGTGTCACTAGTATTAGTATCTACTGAAGTATTTCCCTCAACTTCTTATCCCCCTCCAAGTTCTACCCATTTTTCTGTACCCTTCATAGTAAGCAGAAGCACTGTCTCAGTATTTTCACATCCCATTCTTGCTTCAATTGATTCTAAATAGGTTTCCAACCCCAGGACTTGCTAAAATCTGTTTAGTGTCACTAATGAGCCTCCATTTTTATCACATCTAATGGTTATGTTTCTATCCTCATCTTGTTTGATGTTTTCACAGCATTTGACAAAGTCGAGTACTCTCATCTTGAATATTCTGTCTGTACTTGTGGTCTCCAGGATGCCATGTTCTATGGTTTTCCTGCAAATTGTACTGCCTCAGTCTCCTTTGCAGGCTGCTTTTCTCTTTTCAATCTCTCTATGTTGAGGAGCCCAAGGGCTGAGTCCTAGGCTTTCTACTGCAGCTATACTCTCAACCTAGATCTAATCTTACTAAACTTTAGCAAAAACTTGATGACTACTGTATTTATAAATCCAGCACTGACCTCTCCATCAAACTCCAAATTTTTAGATCCAACTGCTTTCTTGACATATGTGTAATCTTAAGCAGATTTCTCTAATCTTTCATTGCTACAGCTATTAATATTTGGAGAACATCACAATAACAGGAACTTCTTATTAATGAGATTAATTAAATGAGATTTTCTAAATGAAACACCTGTAGACAACAGTCAGTTCAGACTATCTATTATCACTAACTGTCATTGATTATTTTTCTTTGGTTTGTAAGTACTTAATAGTAGCATAAATAACAAAATATATCAACTTTATGTGTTGATTTAGATAATAATATGAATTTATCATTTTATTTATGTATAGTTACATCTTCTGCTTTTTACTGAGTATCATTTTCATCGTGTTCTAAAGAAAGAGTTTTAAATAAGAGCTATATTTCAAATTTACAGTGCTAATAAATGGACTTTGTAAAATTTCAACTCATAATAAAAACTTCAGAAAGTTATCTATACTGTACAAAGCAACATAATTTCTATAGCCCATCAATCTATTCTAATCACTTTTGAAAAATTTCTATAAACTACTTAAACTTTTCCCTATAAGAGTGCTTTAAAGATAAACCCACAGTTTTAGAATTATGCATAATATAACCAGAGAATGTGGTTATTCCTACAATAGCTTATAAACTCGTAAGTGCAAGATGCACTCCTCTATTTGGAAGCCATTTGGGAAATTCCTCTTTCAACATCATGGGACAAAGTGACAGATAAAAAAATGATAGAAGAGGACAAGCACCCAGGCACCACAGAGGGTAAATCAATCAGAACTATCAGTCAATGGGATGAACAGTGAACCAGTCACATCACCTTCAGTTCATGGGGCAAAATGGTTTTATTATGTTGAGTTTTGCCTTTAATATTGTATTCTGTCTGTATTAAGAAAACAGGGAAGATTCAAAACTATTCGGATCCTTTTCACTTCTCCATTATGGTTAAAAAAAGTAATCCTTAAAATCACTGATATTACTTCATGTAGGTAAAAATCATCCCCCATACCCTGTTCTGTTTTCTTTGTTGGAAACTGGAGAAGTTATAATAACTGGTGTTACTGTCTCAGTATTTAAAGCAAAACCAAATTATGGGCTCACAAGAACTTTTTTTGCTTCCCTAGAGTTTCTACAGATATTACTGGATCAGGGTCTTTTCTGGTAAGCATAATTAATTAGGTGGTGCCCACTCTAGGTCAGAAGAGTATAGCATTATTCTCCTTTGAAATAAACATTTAAATGTCTAATTATAAGAAATACAAAAGAGAATGTAACTTTGTAGGAATTAGTTCTCTTTGATAGTTTTAATTATATTATTTGGAAAATTTTAAAACTTTTTGTTTGTATTGGGATAATACTCTGAGACCATTTTAAAAATTCTATACTTTATTTGATTTAGGAAAGGCAACTTGTCAAGATATATTTACACATACACAAACACATACAAAGATATGTAATGTATTATACATATACATTATACATATATATGTAATATATTATACATATACATTATGCATACATATATTTCATGTGTGCATGTTTGTATGTGTGTATATATGTGTGTATATACATCTTCAGACTCTGTACATTATTAATATCAATTTTCTACATATCACCATATAAAAATCTTTCAATATATTTTAAACACTTTCTTCAAACTAAAGTATAGAGATGTTAAGCAAAGTTAAATACAAGCACACTTTGTTTCATTGTGTTTCACTTTATTGCACCTCACAGATACTGTGTAGCCAGAAAATCCAGATATAAAAGAATACACCCTCTTCTTCCCCACAATCGACACACC